ACGCGCACACACACACCCACACGTACGTACGCTCGCGAACACGCGAAACGCCCACGCACGCGCACACAGCAGACACGCACTGAGGGGTAAAGTCCAGGCTTTACACGCGACTACCACAACTGCGGATGTCAATTACAGACAGAATTCCTAAATTATATTACACGGCATTATTTTTTATCTCACACGACGAGTTACGAAAGCAAGCAAGGAGCTGCGGTACACAACATTGCTAAAACAATAAGATAACATCGGTATTAGACTGGACTTATGCATTACATTTACAGCTTCTGTCGGTGCAATAACTTAATTCATTACACAAAATCAAAGTTGAATAATAAGATAAATTATTAAATGAAATAAATAAATAACATAAATATATATATCACTAAATTCAGAACGAGCCTAATGTATAATATACTATATATATCATTATATATATATTACTTGTATATATTGTATGTATATATATGAACTATATATATATACCATACCACACATAATACATCACATACAAATACATCACTACATACAGACATACATACCATACATACATACATGCATGCATGCGCATGCCATGCATGCATGATCATGCATACATAGCTACATACATAACTCATTACCAATATATTACTATTATTAATAAGATATAATAATTTTGATAATAATATACACCAACATCGACTTAAACTCTTGTCTTCATTATATACCTGCATGTGCTATTACAGACGGTTTAATATGCTGAAGCCCAGCTAGGACTTCTGCTGAGGGTCTGCCCAAACAAGTGCCCAGCACAAACTCTTCAGTTTCTCGGGCGGCTCGACATGTTAGCAAACATAGGCATTATTGGCGCGGCAATTGCCAGAAACAGTGTGAAGCTTGATGCTAATGTCTAATGCCTAATTTCGGTTCTCTGAACAACGGGCCCGACTGCCTGATCGAAGGACTACATTCTACAGGAGCTAAACCGGCGATGTCATGCGGAGCCTGTTCACCGTGACCAAGAAACGAGCCGTGCGCCGATTGTGCAGTTTATTGCATAGTTTTGTTGCAGGTCTAATTGCCGGACACAGACACAGGCTACACAAGTTGCTGTGAAGTGGCGGTCTCGTAAGCAGCTCAGCAGTGCGCAGCACATCCTCTGAAATCTATTGTAGCCAGTCCAGTTCCATATCCATTGTAACGATTGATTCACGACGTGAATCGATCTCCTGGGATTTGTCTGATGCAGCTGATTCAATAGCAACTGAAATAAAAACGAAATAGTACGCAATTTTTTTACAATTGCCGACGATTAAACAAATGATGACTCCTAAATATTCCCAACGCAGAAACTCTAACATTGCATATTTGATCAGGAGTAGATAATAGCGGAAGATTCCCTTTATCTACTCCTGATATTTATAGAACGCTGTATGTCTACCATGTTCAAGTACCTCACCACGCAGGTTACTCGCTGCACGCGGCCGTGTGCACGCCGTGCTGACCCGTATAGGCCAGCGCTTACATCCGCGCCGCTTGGCCAACGTGCAGCGTGCTGACCCTTATATGCAGGCTTACATGCGCCGACGTCCCCATCGTGCACGTTGCAGCGCTGTGACCCTTATATGCCCAGCTTACATTGCGCGCAGCACCGTGCAGCGTGCTGACCCTTATGATGCAGCGTTACAATGCGCGTTGGCCACGCATGCACGCGTAGCTGACCGTATATTGCAGGCGTTATATCCCGCGCTCGCACGTGCCAGCGCGTGCGGACCCTTATATGCAGCCCGTTATCATGCCGCCATGGCCCACGTGCAGCGTTGACCCCTTATATGCAGGGTTATACTGCACAGGGCCCACGTGCAGCCCGTGTGCACCCTTATAACTGCCAGGTCTTATTCATCGCGCCGCAGCACGTGCCAGATGTGCTGACCCTCTCATATGCAGAAGTTATATCGGCGCATATGGCACGGTGGCCAGCGTCGTGACCCGTGTGACCCTTATATGCGGGGTTCACATGCGCGTGGCACGCTCGCAGCCCGTGTGACCCTCTCATATGCCACAGGTATACAATATCGCCGCTGCAGCACATCGTCCAGCGGCCTGGGGCGACGCGGCAGCCTGCTGACCCTTATATGCCAGGTTATATTGCGCGCAGCGCGCGTGCAGCGTCCGTGACCTCTTATATGCCCAGGCTATATATATATATATATATATATATATTTATATTTATTTATTTATTTATATAATATATATATATTCAGTAGCGGTTGAATGAACGAAGATGCGCGTGAGCACAGACAGATGGACGAATAGACAGCAATAAACACGAACATAGAAACCACATAACGACATCAATACTAGTAAATTAGATTCCCTTTAGCGCTTCATCACAGCGGCGAGTATAGAACATTTTACAGTCGTGTATTATATTAGTTTTATCTCGCTTTAAGAGAGGTGTCGTGAAACTGACCGTGAAATCTTCGCGCATCCACCGACTCCTTCACGTGCAGGCAGGTGTACAGCGGCAGTGGACACAGCCCATCCTTCACACAGTCCTGCTGCGCTGACAGTTTCATGTCCTTCCGCTACAGAATATATGCGACACGTATATACGACACGTGTACAGATGTCTGATACGTATATATGACACGTATACAGAATATGTGACACGCGTATATATCACGCACATCACATCAGCCGTACGTGTTCACACGGTGAGTGAATGGAGCAATAGATTTTTTATACTTTTCTTATTGAATACATAATATATACGTACAATATATATTAATAACTGAATCGTTTAACCAACCAATTAGCTGTTACGTGATTAATTAAGTAATTAAGTAATATTAACATTTATTCATAACATTTTCAGTATAATATTATTATAATTACTGCTACAACTAATAATAATTATAATTAATAATCAGAATTAACAACTTTATTTACCTGCTTAATTACTATACAAAAAAAATACGTGAGCAGGTAAACCAATCAGTTAGAAACATGACCACCAAAAAAACAACTTCGCCGTCGCTCCAACAACTACATTTGTTCTCTCACGCACGTCGCCAAGGATCGTGTCGCCGACAAGATGGCCGAAGAAGTCCGTGAAGCTGATTGGCTGTCCGTTGCGGTACTTCTGCATCACCGTGCCGACGTAGCGGGACATCGTCGCGTAGGTGAGCGAACGCTGCACCCAGCTCGCCGCCATGCTGGCACGCAACTCCTCCTGCACCTGTCCCGGCGTCTTCGCCGGCCAGTCCGGATCCGAGTACGTCGACGCCAGGTACCTGCCGACGACGAACGACGGTGATTTATAGTGATGTTTGTGATATAGTTCTGCTATATCCGTGTGCCACGGCACCGAACCGGATGTGTTTTGTAACCACGTGTTAATGTGTCAGTCAGGAATAGCCTGGTTACTTGCCAAATGTCTTCTGACCTTGCTTCTGTGCGTGCGTGCGTGCGTGTATGTGCGTGTATGTCTGCGTGTGGGTACGTGAGAGAGAGAGAGAGAGAGAGAGAGAGAGAGAGAGAGAGAGAGAGAGAGAGAGAGAGAGAATGTGTCACTATCTAACTCCCGATATATACATATATGATCGGTGTGTAATTACCAGGACGAGCCGGACAGTCCAGCTACGTAGGTGACCATGTCCAATAGGCCTGTGTCCGACAGCGCCTTGAACACGCCGCTCAGTGACACCATGGCGCGGAAGCCTCCACCGGACCCTAGGACGCCGATCGTGGGCACCTGCAGCAAGATCAATCATCAATGTTATGATTGTGCAGGATACAGTCGTTCCACCGTAAAACTCTCATCTCTCTCTTTTTCTCTCTCGCTCTCTCGCTCTCTCTCTCTCTCTCTCTCTCTCGCTCTCTCTCTCTCTCTCTCTCTCTCTCTACCATGCATAAACGAAAAGCAAATTTGAAACGAAAACAGAATTAGATCTTCACTCTTACTGTCCATCCCTCTATATTTCCCCTTCTCTGCAAGCGTGCATGTGTTGCACCTAAAGATAGCTGGAGATCTATTTATTTACATTACTCAATTTATGCTGCAGGTAATCGTTATAATAACAGCCGATAACCGAGCTACTAGAAATCGGTCTATCGCATCGATAAGGGTTTTCAATAACGCATTACCAACGCATCAATGAGTTGTATAGGATAAGTGAGGTGATAGGTTCTCTCTTCTATGAGGTGTACAAGATAAGTGAGGTGATAGGTTCTCTCTTCTATGAGGTGTACAGGATAAGTGAGGTGATAGGTTCTCTCTTCTATGAGGTGTACAGGATAAGTGAGGTGATAGGTTCTCTCTTCTATGAGGTGTATAGGATAAACTCATTAGCTGTTAGGTCTCGGACCACACCTCGTCTAGGTTGCGTGGTCCGCGGTCGCCCAGTATCCGCTGCATGCTGTGAAACACTCGCTGCTTCCGTGCTTTCAGGAATGCCTTCTCGTCGTCACTCAATGCCAGGCTGAATCTTAGCGCTGGCTCACTGAAACATGTGTGGATGGCGTGACTGATATTGATGATTCAGTTCACATCTGTGGATTTCTGTATCGCCGCATTAGTTCTCGGGTTATTACAATACAATAATTGTACAATAACTACTTACTTAACTCGGAAAGTTGAAATTATCTACACATCGCAATGTTATTATATTTACAAATGATCACTATAGGGCCTACGTATAAACTTACGAGAATTCTGCTAATATGTCCAATTCGAGTTTCGTTGCCTGCAAAATAATAATGTCTAACTTTGATCCAAGAACTGAAAAACTAGTTATATAAACATCGAATACTCGGAGCCCAATATTGTAATTTCACTGGATTCGGAACTTATTGCAATTTCCTCTTAATTTCAATGTTTTACGCTATTATACTACTATATATGTAAAGTTTACGCTATTATCGTAAAAAGAATCCTAAACTGTCGATGACCTTATCTAAATTATCGATGATCTATTGGAAACATGCATAGATCATTATGACACGCACGAGCTAGAATACCACATGACCACGTACATTTTCCCATTCCAGTGAAAAGTGTTTGGTTTTTCCGATGGTGAGGTCCTTTACATAGAGTGTCGTCTGCACTAGCGTTTCGTCGAGTAGATAATTAGCATCCATTAACGTCACATCTGTAGAGAGACAAGCGATACATGAAACGCACAAAACAGTAGCTCATAATTATGTTGCCGTACATCTGTGTATCAACATCGTGGAAACTGTGAGCTTTTACTTTATATTAGCGTATTTTGTCCGAAACGTAATTCGAACTATATCCCTATCCTAATTTCGTTTATAAGGTGGGTGGGTGGGGGCTCCCCGTTGGCCACTGTAACCTGGGATGCTACACCATCTATTGGTTAGCTGGGTTACTGCTCCTCTGCACGCAGGCAAAGGACGAGGAGGCCACACTAACAGCACTGCCTCCTGTACCGGTGCGCTCTCTGATAGGTGGAAATTGGTTCGAAATACGTCAAGTGTTAATACACCAAGCGGTTGTCTCAGTACTGTAAGTCAGGATACATTTAAGTTACGCGCAGAGAATCAATATGGCGGCGACATATCCTGGTTGTTTTTGCGCTGGCATAGGACGAGAGATCTACGTCTAACAGCACTGCTTGCTGCACCGGGATGTTCCCTGATTGGCGGAACGTCAACGTAATCATGCGCTCGGCAGTTCTCTCAGTAACTCGATCCAGGCCCGCTTTAAACCGTCAGTATTTAACGCGAGAGCGATGATTCAAGCACGTACGTATACTCTCGTCAATGCTGTCTCGATAGTTTATGTAGAACGTCAACGTCTCGTTCCAGATTGGATTCAACTCGTTGTCTATCGTTCGGGTCGTCTTCTTGGACTCGGCAGCTGAGCGTATGTGCACGGACACGTACGGGTCGGCCGTGTCGACTGCAACACACAACATCATCACCTCACATCACCTCTTAATATACGTCACCAATACTCCCGCATTGCCGTAAGAAAACTAACCCAGTGCGTAGTGTGATGGCCGCCATCTTACGCACAAGTGATGCAGGGAGAAATTTCGTTGCTTTGTTCTTGTTATAAGATTTCTCTACGTTCGTGTAGGTATAAAAGGCCATGCTAATATCATTTTGGCGCTTCGCTCAACAATTAAAACCACAAATTTACAGTTTTATTAGATGATTATGTCGTCAATTTATTACCTATAATAACCGCATTTATAATTATTACTATTTAATCACTATTTAATCAATATTATTGGGTTGTCACTTCCGGTTACAACAACCACGAGTCCTCATCACTGATATAAGACTAAAAATTTCAGGTTTTCATCTAGAATGTTTTTAAGCAGGCAGCTTTCTGCATTATGTTATCATTCAGAAATACTTTGACGACAAACACCTTATACTCTATGGAAAAGCACTCAGTATAGCTGCTAATATTTAGACAAGTGTGATAAATGAGGAAGGGTAATAGACACCGGCAGGACTATCGTATCGTCATCAACCCCGGGGGAATTTAAGTTAGGTACACGTGGGTGTCTACCACGCCTTCACCTTCGCGCTAGGGGTTTTCACCAGTAGCGCAATTAGGGTTTGTCGACCGTAGATTTTCGTCAGCATGTTCGCTCAATCGGGGAAAGAAAATAACGCACCCGGCAGATAGATGCGATATGATATGACTACTAGGCACTTAGGATATGACTACTAGGCACTTAAAAAAAAAACCCTAACCCTAACCCTAACCCTAAAAAAAAAAAAATTAAATTAAATTAAAGTGCCTAGTAGTCATATCATATCGCATCTTTCTGCCAACACCGAAAATAACAGGACAAAATGCGTAGACACTGTTCGGTCGGAGTCGGATCGGGATCGGCTGCATCCGGGCACTCACGGTAGTCGCCGATGCTTCCCTTTGTCACGTTGGTTGCCCCGACAACGGTAACGTCGATCTTCAGGCATTGTCCCGGCGTGACCTCAAATATTCTAAACGGGTCTTGGATCCCTTTCCTACGACGAAAGGTAGCGTGTATGAATGAATAGCAGTAGCTCAACCGCTGTGAAGGGTGGCGCGTGTTCGCGTGAACGAAGGGGCTACACCATGTAGCTCGAGTTGGGTGCTGGGAGCTGGGAGCAGGGGCTGTTTTCGTTGCAGCGATTAGAATCAGGGAAATAAAATACGAGAACATCGCAAATATTTAAATGCTCTGTTGTCATACGCGGCAATCGGAATGTTGATGATATTGTTGAATATAGATCAGGAGTAGATAATAGGGTGGGGGTTAGCTAGGTTCCCTATTATCTACTCCTGATATAGATATATGTGTAAATTAAATTAATACGACATTGTCTATGCCATAAATTAGTCACTATTACGCTATTACATAGATGTGCAAAGTCGAAATGACTATGAACGAAATACACAAAATATCATAGCGTACATATAATATATCCTCAGCGATTCACATATGCATGAAGATGTAGAGGCAATTAATGGGGTTTAAAGGTTGCCGGACATGCAGGTCATGCATGCACTCCATGTATATCGTTTTATACGCACCGCTCGGTAAACCAGTTATTTGCCGAAGTCAACGGATCCATTGCGCTGCCAACTGGCCCTACTGGTCTGTATGCGACCTAGTTGACGACGATTGCTGCTGTTATTGTAGGCCTGTAGTGTAAATATAAAGAGAACACGACATTTATCAGAGGGGGAGCCAGAAGGTCAGGCATTCAGTAGCGCGCACACAAACACAGACACGCTTGCACGCACGCGGACCGCATACATCCATCTACAAGGCGTCCTGTCGCGGTTCGTTAGAGAGATATGTGTGTATGTGGTTGTATGTCATGCGGTGTTGCGTTTGACGGTATTTATTTTAGTTTTATTTAGATAGTTTGTTATCTTAGCGCCCCTTGCACTTCCAAATTTTACAGTGCCGCGGCGTTACTGGGAGAACCATCTATGCAAGTATTGTACGCACACACACAGACGCGCATGCACGCACACACACACACACACACACACACACACACACACACACACACACACACACACACACACACACACACATACATACAGATGCGCGCGCACAAGCACGATAAAATACCCACACACGCACGCACTCACACCAACACACGCACGCCCACACAGACGCGCGCACAAGTACACGCACACGCAAGTACGCACGCACGTACACACACGCACGCACGCGCACTAACACCAACACACACGCGCACCCACGCGAACAAACACGCGCGCGACGGCGTCACTCAATAATATAACAGGTGACAAATAATACAAATATATTATCACGTCGTAACGTTTTCCGGACCTTTGCGTAATCGTGAAACACCTGTCGTGCCGGACAGTCATGCAGCCAACCCGCCAACGCACCTTACCTCGTGTAGGCGAGCTCACGCTGCAGCAGCTTGGTAACGATGTGTTAGCACAACCCCCACACTATAATAATCCACACACTGCGTCACTGCGGGTGCGCGCTCCTATCCGCGTATCCCGCCTCCGCTGGTCCGAGCAGCCGCGTGAGTCGTCCGTAAAACACACGCACACACGCATACACACGCCAGTGAAATTATAATATGATCACATGTTGCCGCGTTCGCACACGCTGCCTAGACTGATCCGCTCTGTGTGTACAGCTCGTATATATACGCACACTCGCAGTCTCCTCCGACGATGGGGGAAGCAGTGCTCGACAAGGTAGACAGTGTGAGATGGGATCCGTCTACCCGCTATGATGATTCATGCTTCGGATCCGCCCACAGATCTTTTCCCGAGTATAGCCTAGTACTTTCGTTCACTAGGTGGCACTGTTTTCGCTGAGGCGGTCGTTCGTGCCATTATGGATCAACACGGACGTGATCTTGTCCATGTTTTTCCGTGTGTTAGCGGCGCGTTGAGTGTTCGTTCCCTCGGAAGAATACACAGATCGGTATATATCACATGTGAAACTACATTATAATCTTCAATCGTGTTCGGTTATACGATGCGACGAACAACGTTCACATTAGTAGTAGACTACTCATACGGTTTCTATCGATTACATTTATATAGGATATACGCGCGCAACGCGACCCCGCTTGGAGAGACAAACACGCGGAGTGCGTGAGAACAAGTTGGACTAGAATACATAATACGCGACAGAAGCGGACACGCTCGTGTGTTGCAGTGCGCGCGCATGTAACGTACATACACGGGATTGGCCCCGAGGGCCGCGTAAACTTGCCGTACGTAAGTGTTCCGGACTGGTGGGATCATAGGTACAAACATCGAAGCCTGTACAGTTAGGCAGGGAGTTACATCGTATCAAGAGCGTATTAAGAAGGCCTTCTGAATACGCTCTTGACGTGATGCGGCCATGATGCCGAGGCGCGCCGAGGATTGACACTTTGTGTATTCCAATCACAGCCTACGCCGCACCTCTCTATAATATTTTCAAAGGTGGGGACCCGTCACAGTACCAAATCGCCGATCTCAGAAACTAGGGCATTCTGCTAGGCTAGAACGGTTTCCTACGATAGAAATTGGCACAAAACCGGAAATAGCACGTCGTTTAGCGCACTGCGCTACGTCTTTCCGTTGCATTTCCACATCTCCGTAATCAGAATAAGCCCCGCCTTCTTTGTTCAATGGGCATGAATGGGGCGTCAACGACGTGACCCGTTACTGCGTGTAGGTGTTTGGCGAGACTGTTTGCTTTTCGTAAATCATGAAAGGCCCGGCCGATACATTTCGCACCGAAGTGAAAAAATTAGGCATTTTTACCCGCTTTCGGAAGTGAACGAGTGCGTCATTCATTGAACATTGAAGTTTTTCTTAAAATTAAATAATTCCGAAAATCCCTAACCGCGCTACTCGATTGTTTTAGCCAATGAACGTAGCTGTGTTTGTGACGTCTTGCCCGCGCGCTTTATGCTTGGCTTAGCAGGCCTCGAAATGGATATCGGAGGCAGGCACCTCGCAACCCGCGTGTTTGTTTACATATAGCTTTGTGACGTACGGTGTTCGGGATTTCTGCGATGATAACCTCGTAATTTCTCAGCATTGGGAATTTTGGACACATTGGTGCATGGAACATTTTACCAATTTAGTGGTGTCAGTTAGTCACGGATATGTCACAGTAAGTACTAACCGTATATGTTTCACATACGTTCACCTATTTTGCACACAGGCGGTCGATCATTGTGAAAAATTATGTGAAGATATATTTTTATTGAGACGTTCCAAGTGCCTGCATGTGCTTTCATCAGTCTTGTACGTCAATGCACGTGCGCCAAGAGTATAAACTCAACACAATTTCATCTCTGTTATTGTTTACGCCTAAATGCGTGATTGATCAGGGAGGGGGTGCATGTAAGAGGGAGACATTTTTTTGGGGGTTCCGAAAAACAAAACACAATTCCACTTGGCAATTTTATGGGCCATTTCAATTGGAAGCTCTGCATAATGGACCCCCAACAAGCCCTTTGACTGCATGCATGACTAGTCAAGAAATTCAAAGGTGTGTATATTGCTCTTATTTAGCCGCCGATAGTTCTTATTTAGAACAAAGTCTTCATTGTTATCTTCTAAAACTACAGACCATCCGCTGACCGCTGTGGAGACGTGCGCCGGGCCTCGAATTTGGCGCACGTCTCCACTGCGGACAGCGCTTCATACTTGAACATCCCCGCGGAACTGCGCGCGTCTCATCCGCGCGCAGCGCTCAGGATCAACAGCAAAGCTGTGCCATGCAATCTTGTATCAGGAGTAAGATAATATAGGCCTATATTATCTTACTCCTGCTTGTATCATGTCTCTCTGGATCGTATGTGGTAACCCTGTTTCTGCGTTGCTCTAGTACTATAGCCCTTGTTACCACAGGCCTAGCTCTAGAACTATAGGCCTAATCCTCCGCCCCGCCACAGGTAGTCCTGTGGCGGAGCGAAGGGCTCTAGAGCTACCACAGGCCATGCAACTGTGGCAACAAGGGCTCTATAGTACTAGATCTAGTCTCTGCGTGGTTATATATTTGTACCTAACGTGATTGCTGTCCGCTTATATGGCACATGACACTCTCTGGAGTCTGGTGAATCAACAAGAATTTTCGCTTTCCGTCTGCGCGCGCGTATAGGGGACGCAGTCTGAAACTCGTACGTAGTTATCGCCCTAGCTAACAACAACAGAACCAGTCTATCCTCAGATTATAGCGCGTCCCTGAACCGGTCCCTCCCCCCGCTCCTCCTGCTGTTGCTCCCCGTATACAAAAACAGACGCATGTGCTCGGCGTTCGCCATTGCAGCTGTATCCGTGCGCGTGTGTAGCGTAACTAGCGTTTACAGGCACGAGCAGCGAGGTGGAAGAGGTGCGAATGAATGAATGTAATACGTTCGGAACACAGAAACGACCGCAACAATGGCGGCGGAGATCGTGACGACGGTGCTGGCGGTCACCTACAAGGTCATCGAGAGTATTTACAACATCATCGCTCGAGAGCAGAAGCGATGCGAAGACTGCGTGCGACTGAAGCGGAAAGTGGAGTTCATTGAGACGCTACTGAACTCGCACAGCGACATCTTCCGGTCGGAGTCTTCATCGTCGGCGTCGGCGTCGTCGGCGGGACAAAGAGTTAGCAAGAAGTCGAGAGGCCGCAAACATAAAGATCCGAGCATGAAGAAAGCTCTCAAGAACGTGCTTAGCGCACTACGTGGTTAGTGACGAAGACATTTTGAATATATAATTATTCAAACCGTGTGGCTATATATATGCACAGGGGCGTGTACAGGATTTTGACCAGGAGGGGGGTCTAACCGTAACCCAAACTTGCGAGCACGCGATGGGGGGTGGTTTGGGGGGACCTCCCCCAGAAATTTTTGAAATTAGACCCCTTTAGATGCGTTTTCTGCGCGAGCAGGGGGGGGGGTCCGGACCCCCTGGACCCCCCCCCTGTACACGCCCCTGCATTGCATGGGTACAGAATTTGAATAATTATCCCTAAACTATCGCTCCATCGCATATGTGCAGCTCATTGATGCTGCCCACAATTCAGCGCCTGCATAGACATATATAGATAATATACAGTATATATATATCAAGAGTGCATAATAGAGATGTCTATTAGTATTAGCGATGAGATCTATATTATGCACTCTTGATATATATATATAAACATATAGATATATCGAGCTGATTACGGTATCATAATATATGTAATTTCTTGTAGAATGTGAAAGCTTCTTGCGGTATACGTGTACGGATAACCCCGGCTGCTGTCTGCGTCTAAAAGTGGCTCTTGGAACGACATCGTAAGTTTACAGCGGGCTATATATATGTGTATATATATATATCAGGAGTTAATAAAGACAAATTTGTCTTTATTAACTCGTGATATATATATATATACATGTATTGCCTTGTCCAATTCCCCATAGATTGCATTAGATAAGCTATATAGTGGTAAAATTGTTCATTAATGAACACAAAGAATGCGATTTCGTGTACTATAGTATAAATGTATAATAATGTGCCTATATTGTTCAAAATTAGCTTGAGAAATTGCACTGAGAAATTGCTTTCGTTAATATGTATTCTACTCACAGTATACCTACCAGTATATTACCTATAGTCTGGCCCAGATCGTTGTGATACGCGCAAATACAATGTAACACTTCTACCAATAAATCAATCTATACAGTGACAATTAAATGCTTAGTGCGTGACGGAATGTGCTGGCCAGCATGGCATCAATGATGGCATGTTATACGAGATCGTATTCTATTGGGGCATTGTGGAGTTCCGACGCTACAAGTAAATTTCTTACGAATTTGGATTGCAGTACAGCTATGTTTGGGGGAGTTATTGTTGAATCCTGGTGGGTGTGGGTATAATCAAGAGTCTTGGTATAATACATCTACTGATTATTGCGCATGTTCGCCATCATACCAGCTATCTATAGTTACTCTGCTCTAAATATACCAATAACTGACTGACTGAGTGATGCATTTATCACTGACTGTACAGATTGGTGTAATGGTAGTACCGCGAATCAGCGCAATATGAATGCACTAAGTTGTGCTACGTTTGAGATATAAATAGTATAATATATATAGTACATTTTGATAATCCTGCGAGTGTTAGAGTTACTCTGGGTTTTGCTGTTACAGGAAACGATTTGAGCACCACTTTTCGATGCTAGATGACGCCACCAGTTACCTGGAACTCGCAATCAGCTTGCGCGCAGCGTCGTCATTGAGCGAAATCAAGTCTGAGTTGGAATCACAGAATAGCGAAGTGAAAGGCCTTACATCTAGTGTCGAAAATCTTTCAAAGGAAGTTGGCGATCTGCATGGACAACAATGCAAAAATGTAACTGAAGAAAAACTATAAAAATTTGTGCTATTTATGAAAAAAGAGTAAATACATGTTTAACTACTGCTTAGACTGATTGTATATTGCGTCCCAACTATAAGTTGTGATTACATAATTATGTATTAGTGTTTTAACCATGTGTATACCACATTTTATGTAAAAAATAATACAAGGTATCTGCTTTAACCATTGTATATTAGCTCGTTTATTATGTATGCACTGTACTGAGTACTGTTATGTACTTTTGGGTATATTCACTGCCGACGAACCTATAACTACAAGTTTATAAGCCAACGAAACATCGCATGACACATGACGCATGACATATAGCATGACAGATAGCCCGAGGTATGTTGTGTTTACGTCAGTAAAGAAGGTTTCTGTGTGTCATATTCATTATTTCTTTTTGTCTTTTCTTATGGTTATTTTCTTTCCGGTCAGCCACTCTCGCATATACCTGAAATTAAACGTACAATTTGTATTCAAACCCGTTTCTTAAAAAACCTTCGAAAAGACCATTTTCTTGTGTTCCATATATATTCTGAATTAGACCTTGTCAATAACATTGTTATTAGAAGGTTAATGAGATAATAAGGGATTATGCCATATTTATTAACCCTTGTTATATCATAATTAAATATGAATATTAATACACTGGGTCTCATGCGCGACACTAGCGCCGACCAATGGCAACAAAAATGCTTACATTTTATTTGGCGTTGCGGGTAATCGGGATGTTGAAAGATAGGCCTCCTTATTATATCAGAGATGAAATTATTTTAATATTTGAGTAGTACATAGTACATATAGTACATAGTCCCCTTATTTAAGTCGAATTTGCAGTACTTCGTTGCCAAAGATGGGCATAAAGTTAATTGTAGACCGTTGTCGCATGTCTCTCACCTGTTTACAACTTCTGGCTCTTGCTGCTGCACCCAGTGACTGCACCCATTCACCAGCCTGGCGGTATAGTCTTCACAATTCTCCCCGTTCAGTAGTGCGAGTTCCGTCCTCAGAGC